TTCTAGATGCTGAGGAAGACACAGCAGTTAGTGGCAGTGGCCCACCCTGCCTGCTCTGATGGCTGTAAAGGCAACTCTCTGAGGTGCTTACCTTCTACAGAAATGCTCTGTACAATAGCAGATGGGAGAAACATCGACCCTAGTCTGCTTCCACCTCCCTCATCTGTGTCCTTGGAGTAAGCAAGTGTAGGGAAACAAAAAAAGAGATGCTAAGCCAGCCAGCAGCCTCCACTCTTCCTCTACAGTAGGTTAGGGAGAGCTAGGTGAGGGCTGTGCTAGGTGGAATGGATGCCTATTCTCCAAGGACACATGCCTCCCTCAGGGTCTTGATACCTCCCCAACACCAGGTCTCACTCTCACTAGGAGCCTCAGGTCTCCACCCCCAGAGTTTCAGGGGAAGCCAGACTGCCAGCCTACCCACCCAGAGCCGTTGAGATAGGCGTCCTGTGTGGGCTTGTGGCAGGAAATGGGGCCCTATGTCTTCAAGGGAGGGGAGCTGCTGATGGCCATCCCCCAGGGCTGATGAGGGGGATCGCCGGACCTCCTTGCCCTGAGGGCCAACTGAGCTGTTTACCTAGGAGGTGGTAAGGCTGAGCAGCTGTTTGTGTTTGGTGGACTTGACTGGCTGGGCCACTGGCTGCATGGTTTGCTCAAGGCAGCTGTGATCTGTAAAGTAAACAAGTACCAGTGTTCACCCCCCCCCTTCCTGGGGCTGGGGCCCTAGAGCCATCGAAGTGCCTGGCCAGCAAAGTAGCTAACCCCCAACCTTCCAAGGCTTGACCTAGTCCCAAAGTGCCTGGCCAGCAAAGTAGCTAACCCCCAACCTTCCAAGGCTTGACCTAGTCCCAAGTCTGTAGTTGTGTGAAAGAACATGGTGGGAAAGTTCCTTGGAACACCTTAGGAGATCTAGGGCAGGCAGTACCCACCCTGGGGCCACTCTTCTGAGTCCTGAGTGGTTCGTATCAACCTTGCTGACCCTAGACATTAACAAACTCTAGGAAGGTCTCAAAGGAACGTGCCTTCCACTTCCCACCCATTATAATGGGTGAACTGCAGAAAAAATTAAGGAATTTCCCCAAAAGCACACACTAAGCTTTTTATAGTAGAATAACTCAGTCTTATATCCCTCCCACTCAGGCCCACCCCCACATCTCTCCACCAAAAACAGCTAATAACTCCCAAGATCCCGTATCTATGGGAGAAAGGCTTTTTGGTTCCGCCATCAAGTTCAGAGAGCCCAATAATTCTGCCCTTATTATTAACAGCTGGGAACATTCTGGCTTTGAGTTTACACTTCCATTCTCTGAGATGACTGACCAAAGAGATCCCGCCCCCACATTCCTACATGTTCCCCCGAAGTGGCTAAATGATGCCAATTTGCAACCATTTGTCCCTCTTGGAAGGTTTCTGCTAAAAACTTCAGACTAACTGTCTCCCCATCTCAGAATAAATGTCAACCTTCCCTAATTCTTGCAAGCCTATTGTGAATGTAAGCCCTCATTAGACCCTTCTAAATTAATGTCTGACCCAAAAGGAAACTCCAGCAATAGTAATTTAAAGACAATGTTCCACCCGTCTTTTTTTTTTTTTTTAATTTTACTTATTTATTATGTATACAGTCTTCTGCCTGCAGGCCAGCAGAGGGCCACAGATTTCATTACAGATGGTTGTGAGCCACCATGTGGTTGCTGGGAATTGAACTCAGGACCTCTGGAAGAACAGTCAGTGCTCTTAACCTCTGAGCCATCTCTCCAGCCCCCACCCCCACCCCCGTCAAGTCTTAAAAAAAAAAAAACAGGGTCTCATTCATGTACCCCCATGCCTCCTCACCCATCCATCAAGTCTTGCTAGGCTCTTGGGAGAGAGGTTCTTTTCCCTGTGTGGAGCCCGCCTACCTGTATACCCCTGAGTGCATACTCGGAGGAGCAATGACCTCTGCACTGTTCTGCAACCGGAAAATAGATATCCAAGATATAGCCCAACAGAATGTGACATTCTCTGGGGATCTCCAAGCATGTTTTTGGAGGTCTCAGCTCGGCTTCGAGGACAAGTACAAGAGGCTCAGAGGGAGAACCTGGGAGGCTGCAGCAAGGAGAATGGAGACTAGAAAGAAGCAGGGTGATGGCAGAGGCAGGCTCGTGTCCCTCTGTCCAACTGGCTTCCTTCTCCATCCTTCTCTTCTTCTCTGTCCTCTTGAGGACAGTCCTCTCTAGAATCCCAGAAGACCCTGTCTCTTCCCCAGTCGCCATTAACTGCCTCTGCCCCCATCTCCTAGGTGATGCTTCTGGGAGACTCGGGTGTCGGCAAAACCTGTTTCCTGATCCAATTCAAAGACGGGGCCTTCCTGTCCGGAACCTTCATAGCCACCGTCGGCATAGACTTCAGGGTGAGGTGGCTGCAGGCTCAAGAAGGGTGCCCACTCCTTGTCTTTGACTCCTGAGGGCACCTGGGGCTTACTGCCTGGGAGGCCCCAGAGGTACTCCCACCAGGGCCACAGAGGCGATCAGGTCAAAGGATTCTGGGTAGGGCCGGCATCTTATTCACCTTCTTCTCAGGTCTAGGATAGCACCCCAAAGCAAGGTAGTCTCATGTCATGGTCTAAGTCCTGAGAGCACCTTGCTCATGGCCATCTGAGCTGGGTCCCTCTCAAGGTCAGTCTTTGAGAAGCAATTGCCAAGAAGCTGAAAGGCTGGGTTCAGAGATGGAATTCTCTGGCTGCGCGCGCGCGCGCGCGCGCACGCACACACACACACACACACACACACACACACACGCACACACACACACCGCCATCCCCTAGGACTCTAAGATTTCTATCTTTATCAGTGTGCAAGCAGGACTACTGGTGCTGCACAGCAAACAGCAAAAGATCCCGGAGGGGAAGAATCTGACCCCAGCAGGCAGGCCTGCAGCAATTTTGTGCCTCTCCCAGTGGATGGAGTGCTGAGGCTACATTGAGAGAATTATGGGTAACTGGAGGGACGATGGTCTTGCAGGGTAAGCCTCTGGAGGCCTCAGGATGTAATGGGTGCCTCATCTCTAAAGTTGAACTCTGGGAGGCAGAGACTGAAGTGGAGAGGGTCAGGCCCACCCCCCATACACTCCCTTGTGCTGTCTGCTGAGAGTTCAACAGGGAACTAGGCATGCCTGGAGAGATGGCTCAGCAGTTAAGAGCACTAGGCTGCCCTTCCAGAAGTCTTGAGTTCAATTGCCAGCAACCACACGGTGGCTCACAGAGAACTGGGCAGGTTTGAAGGTTCTCCTTGCCTGACTAAGTTATGTCAACAATGAATGGAGGAATCTTAAAACAGGTCCCTCACTGCTCTACCAGGGTGATCTGACTGAAGATGTGTCAGGCTCACCACACCGCCTGTAGGCCTGGAGAGAGACCAGTATAGGATGTTGACAGACCTCAGGGACCAGCCAACATCCCCTCCCCACTCTCTGTCCTTTTTCTCTTCCAGAACAAGGTGGTGACAGTAGATGGTGCCAGGGTAAAGCTTCAGGTAAGAGCAGTGGCTGGGATGGGGGAGGGGCTTGCACTTGCTTCTCAACCTGAACCACAGGCCTACAGCCCTGCCCTCAGTCTGGGGTAACTTCCTGTGGGGCCCATGAGAGGAAACTGTTTTTCTTTGTTTGATATCTGCAGAAAAAGCAGTTCCCAGGCACCCTTTCTCCTATCAAAGACAACTCAAAATGCCCTCAGCTAGGCTCAGCCTCCCTTACTGCCCCTCCCCCCCTCCAGTTTTCCAAGTCTCTACTGCTCTAAGCACCCCAAACCCTGGGCTGGAAAAGAGGAAACAGTAGTTAATGGGTTTAAGACCCCAGAAACACCACTGAAGATGTCATCAGATGCTGGGGAGCCCCGTGAGAACCCACAGTAGGAGACAGAACCCCCATCTCACAGACAGCTCTCACATGAGCCTTTCAGTCAGCAGCCAGCCCTGCTCCTTCCCATCTCTCCCTCTCCCTCCCCTCTCTCTCTCTCTCTCTCTCTCTCTCTCTCTCTCTCTCTCTCTCTCTCTCTCTCTCCCAGATCTGGGACACTGCAGGACAGGAGCGCTTCCGCAGTGTGACACATGCTTATTACCGAGATGCTCAGGGTAAGTCCTTGTCCTCTGACCCATCCCCACTCTGCAGGACCCCTACTGATGCCTGATCTCCTCTACTATCTGTCCCCCTCCAGCCTTGCTCCTGCTGTATGACATCACCAACAAATCTTCCTTTGACAACATCAGGGTAGGTCCTCCCCTCCCAAGGTCCTTCCCTCACCCCAACAACCCTGCCTGTCATAAGCAGCCAGAACAGAGGGGCCTCTGCAGGATAGATTGTTTCAATTCTGTAAAAATAGGTAGACCACAGAGCCTGTCACCTTTGAAAAACACTCAGCAGTGACTGGGCATTTCATTGCCATGTAGGCCTGGGAACCAAGCAGGCTGATGTGCCCTGTGCTGACTGTAGAGCCCTGACTGTGATTCATGAGTGTGTTTTATATCAAAATGTTCAGACCAGTCCCGGCTCCACCCTGGACAATTATCCACAGGGACCCAGGGGAAAGCCCAAGCAGAAAACTCCACATGCATCCAGGCCAAGTTGCAACTCAAGAAGACAGAGTGAGTGGCTATGTCCTCACAACCAAACCATTAGAGAACAGAAGCCATAACCAATAAAGATAAGCATGACTCTGCATACAACATCATAGGTTCCATGTGTTCCCAGACCTTGAGGACTGGTTACTGAAAAGCAAACTGAGGGGATAAGACAGATAGCTATAAAAGGATGGAAACTGCATGGTGTGGCTGCTTTCAAGCCTATTCTCCTGGCAGACATCACTAATCAATCTCAGTACTTTTTGATCAGAAAGTCAATACAGAAAAAAAAAAAAACCCAGAGCCTTGTATATTAAAGAAAAGCATGTTACTACTGTATAACATCCCCAGGCAACCTTAGCCATCTCTGCCTCCATCTTCACCTCCAGTTCCCGGTTGTTGTTGTTGTTGGGTTGTTTTGTTTTGAGGCAGAGCCCAGATATGTAGCTCAGGCTGGCCTCCAACTCTGCTCTCCTGCCCCTATGCAGGAATATAAGCCTGTGTTGCCACACATAGCAGACACCGCTGCTTTTGGGTACTGAACCCCTTGGAGGTTTTAGCATCCCAACAGAGCCCTCTAGGAGAAGAATACCCTGGTCCTTGGCCCCAGCCTGGCTCAGCTTCCCCTCTCCCACAGGCCTGGCTCACGGAGATCCATGAGTACGCCCAGAGAGATGTCGTAGTCATGCTGCTAGGGAACAAGGTGAGTGGCTCTGTGCCAGAGTCCCTGCACTCTGCCCTTCTCTCCCACTGCCTCACCACCAGCCCCAACTAGCCCCACAGCCACCCAAATCCTTCCAGTGGGGGCCTTTGAGCTCTCCAGTGTGGGAGTTGGACTTGTCTTGTGACTTCTGCCTGTCCCACCCCAAAGCTTTCGTAGTAGTAGCCCCTTCCACCAATAGCCTAAACTGCTGCCAGAGAGCTGCCAGGTGACTCATTTGTCAGCCATCACTAGATCATTATGGACAGTTCAGGGGTCAGGGGTTAGGTACAAAGTGTTTAAGTCAGCTGCTGTCACCTGATGAAGCTGGGTCACCACACCCTTTGCTAAAGTTACACACCTCCCCAAGTGCACAGGGCGGGCATGGGCACACAGCCTGAGCAACACAGAAACCCTGGCCCCAGGCCAAGCACACCTGCCTGCAGTCCCCCAGGCCACCAGGAGAGGGCAGGCAGTGCTTGCTCCTGGGGCAAAAGATGGGCTTCCTGGGGTCAAGGCTTCCTTCCCTGGAGCTGATTGACCCACATGGGTTTACAGGCAGATGTAAGCAGTGAAAGGGTGATCCGTTCTGAGGATGGAGAGACGCTGGCCAGGGTAAGTGACTGCCAATGGGGTCAGGTGAATGGTGAGAAAGGCCAGAAACAGGCCCTGAGAATACTCTCTCCCGGACAGGAGTACGGTGTTCCCTTCATGGAGACCAGTGCCAAGACTGGCATGAATGTGGAGCTGGCCTTTCTGGCAATTGCCAAGTGAGAGCTGAGCAGGGAAGGGAAACCTGGGTTGAGGTGGGAGGCAAGCTGGGGAGTCGGGGGGGGGGGGGGAGTAGGGAATGCCTGGCTCTACATTCCCAGCTCAGCACATGATTCTTCCTGTTCTAGGGAACTGAAATACCGTGCAGGCAGGCAGCCTGATGAGCCCAGCTTCCAGATCCGAGACTATGTGGAGTCCCAGAAGAAGCGCCCCAGCTGCTGCTCCTTTGTGTGACTCCCAGGGGGCTAAGAGGAGGAGCAGAGACCCTTGGGAATGCAGTTATTCTAACTGCTGAGCCAATTAGGAGAGAGCTGGGATTCCGTGGGAAGCCCTGGCCAGGGAAGTAACTGCCACCCTAGTTTCTCTAGCTTCCCTGTGTCATGGAAAGGGTAAAATAACCATACTTTATCTTAGTATATATAAACTAAAACCAAAAAATGCACCAGTGTGCCACCCCCACCCCCCAAAAAAAAACAAAATAGGTAGAGACTTGGTCCTTTTGCCATCTGGGACTAGGTTCTAAAAGGCTGGGCCTCCCTCCTAGAAAGGGTGTCATGGCACCAGGGGACACTGAAGCAGTGCTAGGGTGTGGGAGCTGCTTTTAACAGTTCTCACTAGGGAGGCTAAGGGGACCCCAGTCTTCTCTTCCTCCAGCTCCCCAAGAGAGCCTTTCCCAACAGGAAGGGGCTTAGTGCTGGGAGCTAGCCCAAATCCTCAGGAAAGGTAAATGTGGAAATGGGTGTGTGTGTGTGTGTAAGAATAGCAGTTCCTTGGGTGGGGTCTGCTCAGTTACCTCTGGCCTTCCTCACCCACCTTCTGGAAGTGTGCCCCTTTTTCTCTACCACACAAGCACAGTGGGGCACCCAAAAACATTACTTTCAATTCTCTAGACCTCACTTCCGAGGGGATGTCCACCATCCCATGGAATCTCTCTCATCAGCCTTCTGCCTGGGTTCCTAGACCCCAGAGGTCAGAGCCAAGAAAAAAAAAACCAAAACCTTTCCTTCCTTCCCAATCCTGTGACAAGGTGTACAGCACCACAGCTATTTAAGGCAGAGGGAAGAGCCAGATAAAGAACTCACTGGCTGGTAAAATGAGTGCGAGGCAGAACTGAACAACCCCATAGTCCAGTTTTCCCCACTAATCCCCAGCTCTCTGTCTCTTTCCTGCTCCTTCCTTTAACTTCAGACCAATACTAGGGCCAAAACTGTTTCATCTCCTCCTCTTCCACTAAATCAGGAAAAAAGGGTGTGGGAAGTTGTCCATTTCTGGGTGAGCCAATGTAATATGTACAAAACAAAGCACTTTGGTCCATTTTGGGTATGGAGAAGGGCAAGCAGCAAGGAGGTCCTATAGGCCCAAGGCCATGCATCTCCCAAAGCCCTGACCTCACCCTTAGAAGGACTCTGGAGGTGTGTAGATCCATGACCCGCAGGCAGGCAACTTTACTGCTGTTCTGTAGGCTGGGCAGAGACTGGGACTCCAAGAAAGTATGCATAGCACATTTATGAGGTTACTGCATTTGCTTTCAAGGCAAAATCTTGCTCTCTGAACAGAGTCAGCACTCTTAACTTGGGTTGATAAGGAAGGTCTCTGTGACCTCTCACAGGCAGATAGAGGAGGAGCCTGGGCTTGCCTGTTCTCTTCTGGGACTCTGAGCAGGTTGCAGGAACTCCATTTGTGTTTTTCAGAATTAAATTGCAGTATTTTGGCAAGTATACCTTGGCGTTTCTTCTCTCTGTTCCCAGAGGACGAGGGACCGTGTTGGAAAGTTTGTTACTTGGCATTTTGTGGAAAAGTGTTACCCAATGCTCAAATCATTCCATCCTCATTCTTCCTCATTCTTTGGTGTCCTCATAGGCTCACCTCACCCTTAACTGACTGCTCTCCCCCAGACCAGCATCTTTTAGAGCCAGAGTGAGCTGGAAAGCTTATCTCACAATCCAAGTCATTTTTCTTTCTCTGTTGATAAAAGCCAGGCCTCCATTCCCTCCAGAGTGAATCCTGAGATTGACTACCAAGCTGCCTCTCCCCGCCCCCTCTCCCGAACCAAAGGCAGCTGCCAAAACCAAGCCTTTTATTTATTATTTACTGATCTACCCTCTGGCAGCCTGTCTTCCAGGTGGGCTGCTAGGAGCCTTGGCCCCTCTGCCCCGCCCTGCACGTTCCTAGAAGGGATCAAAGCCCAAACTTTCCCTTTACGCCAAGTCCTGGGATAGCACAGTGACTCCACAAGTAGAAACTTTGTTACTTAAACAACCTCGCTGCTGAGTTATTCTGTTACAGTTACTCTGTTACAGTGTTACTGTGTTACAGAAGACATCCGTCCGGTTCTTAAGCTGGCCCCGGGGAGGGGGAGGAGTGAGTGTAGGGGGGGGTGGGTTGGTTTCCTAGGCAACTGTCGCTCCCCTCGCCCCCCCCCGCAGCCAAGCTGTGCAATAAATAGGCTTTCGCTGACGGCGGTTAAAGCGTTGAGGATTCTTTACCCCGAGACTGGCACTTCTAAATCCCCCTCCACGACGTGAAAACCAGAGCGTAGTCCACGAGGCCCTTGGGCTCAGTACCTGGAACCCGGCCCCGGCCCCAGCCCGGGCCCCGCCCCATCGGCCCAACTCCCCACTTGGTAACAAACACTTCCACTTCCTGGGCTCTCTTTTCTTCTCCCGCTGCGGGGAGCCGCGCCGAGTGCAAGCCACACCCCCACCATTCTGATTGGCCAGAATTATTCGCCCCGGCCCAAGAGCCGGATCTTGTGGCTTCTGATTGGTCCAGGGTGATCCACACCCACGGCACAGCCCCGCCCCCGACTTTAGGAGCTGGGGCGGGCTGTGGAACGCTCAGACGCCGCGCAGGGCGGGGATTGGCCCGCTCCCTTCCTGTGCGTTCGCTGCAGCCGTTCCTGGGACACCTGCTCACGGTGCCCCGTACTGTGCTCAGCTCCCAACTTGAGCTCCGCGGCGCGGGGAGAAAGGCCGTGCGTCCCCGGCCTCCGACGGGAACCGTGCTGAGCGTTCTCCGGGCAAGATGAGCGCGGACGCGGCGGCCGGGGAGCCCCTGCCCCGGCTCTGCTGCCTGGAGAAGGGTCCGAACGGTTACGGCTTCCACCTACACGGGGAGAAGGGCAAGGTGGGCCAGTTTATCCGGCTGGTGGAGCCCGGCTCGCCCGCCGAGAAGTCGGGGCTGCTGGCCGGGGACCGACTGGTGGAGGTGAACGGCGAGAACGTGGAGAAGGAGACGCATCAGCAGGTGGTGAGCCGCATCCGCGGGGCGCTCAACGCCGTGCGCCTGCTGGTGGTCGACCCCGAGACGGACGAGCATCTCAAGAAGCTGGGCGTCCCGATCCGGGAGGACCTGCTGCGCTCCCAGAAGTCCGAACAAGCCGAGCCGCCGGCCGCCGCTGACGCGCAGGCTACAGACCAGAATGAGGCCGAAAAGAGCCACCTGGAACGGGTAAGTGCGGGTATGAGACTGGGATTCCGGAGAGACTCGGGCGCCCCGGACGTCCAGCACTTATTCTGAAACTCGAGCAGCGAGGAGGAAACGGCTTCTGCCCTCTGACCCGAAAGCCATCGCAGTTCCTGAGGCAAGCCTCGGACTGCGACCCGACCCCATCGCCCTATCCAGGGTCGCTGGGGAGCAGAGCGCCTTTGCCGCCTGCACTTTCGGTTCCCTTGAACTCTGGGGAGGCGACGCAAAGGAATTCAGTCTCCTTCTCGGCTCCCATTGGATTCTGTCCCCCATCCCGCACTCCCTGGAGCCCTTTCCTGGGCTATCCCTGCCTGCAGCCAAGCTCTCTCGCTCTGTCTCTCTGTCTCTGTCTCCCTCCATCCCGCGTCAGTACTTGTGGACAGTAGCTGAAATTGGCGTGGATGCTGAGTAACAAGAGGTCCCTGGGAAGGACCTCGAAGTCCTACCCGCACCACCTCGGATCCCTAGTTTGTACATCATGAACTCATACCTATTGGACTTCATCCTTCTCTAGTCTTAAAGTGACTTCTAAGAAAGAGAGGAAGTCCCAGCGTCTCCGAGCGAGGGTGGGGGTGGGGTACAGGGAGGAGGCGCAGAGACATCTTGGGGGTGGTGGCTCTGCCACCCTGGAGGATTTATGATCCTCTGGAATGTGAGGAGTAAGCGCTCGCTAGTTGGTATCTGGGAGCCTGGTGGGAGGACCTTAGAAGAGGAGGAGAAGGAGAAAGATGGTTGGGGGAGGGAGCAGTCATACGGCCAGGCAGAGTCCACCGTGGGCAAGTGGTCTCGCCTTAGTATGGTCACTGCTCACTCCAGCGTCTTCATAGCAAGCCGCCTAGTTGGTTTTGCCTGTGTTTGGTATTTACCACAAACAACCCCAGTTTGGATCAGCTGCTGGAGGGGCAGCTGGCAAAACAGGAGCTGTTGTGCTGAGCCTCCGTTCCCTAGAGAGCAACGAGAGAGGGAGGCCAGGCTCAGGGCAACAGACTGTGGGAGCAGGGTCCCTTCCCTTCCGTGTGTACTAGCTGTCTACCTGATAGGGACTTGTGGCAACGGTACCCATGGAGCCAGGAAGATTCTCCCTCAAAAGAGAAAGGACACAGTTCAGCCTTAAGGTTGAAGGCGGAGCCTGAGAGTACCAACTGGTTTGGTGGAAGTGAGGTCACCAGAAGCCTTGTTCTGCCAGAGTTCGGTGCTGGGAATGCCAGGGCCACCAGGTTCCCACTTCCTGCCAGTGCCAAATTGGCATTGGCAAGCAGTAATAGAGTCCCGGCCGCAAATTGGAACAGGTGACCTCTGCTCCTAGGCACAAACCCAATTTGAACTTTGTCCATTGAGTCACCATTACCTTCACTCCCACCCCCACCTCACTGTTTTTTCCTTTGGACTTTAGCACCAGAACAGATAACCAGCAGCCTCCCCTCACCCCCCAGATACTCATCACCGTGCAGTCATGCTCGGCTCCTCCCCTTGCCCTTTTGAGTATGCTACTGGGTGCTGGAGGGCCGTGTTGAGGCCATGTACAAGACTCTGTATCAGACTGTTTTGTATCTAAAAGCAGTGAGTGGGTGGGGGCTTCCTCTTGGGGATCTGTCCTCTGAGAAAACACATAATCCGGGTCCCCAGGTGGTAGTAGGACACCATTTGTGTAGATTCCTCAGGCCAGGAGACTCAAAGTAAAACCGTCCTGGAGATTTCTGAGCTTTGATTTTTCCCATCTGTAAAATAGGAGCATTGGGCAACATGATCTGTCTTTTCAGGAGTTATCAAAAACGCCAGGGAGTACTTGTCCCCTGCTAGATGGTTAAGTTCATTGTTGCCCAAACCTTGAGAAGTCCTGTCCCTTCAGCTTTACTCTGCTGTGTTTCTCTGGTATAGAGTTCCCATGGTGTGGTGAGCTTCCAAAGGACACTCCCCCACCCCCCTTCCAATATTGCAAAATATGCCAGTAAACACTGAGGCATCCCCTTTCCTCAACTGAGATTTGACAGTTTTGGCCTGGATTTGTTTGCAGAGCGGGAACTGCTCTGTTAATCTCATCAATTCTCAGGTGACAAGAGGTGTCAGCCAGAAGATGATGCTGTTGAGGAGACTGACCGAGTGGCATCTTGGTGGGCCATGAGCAAACAGGGCAAGTGATGAGAGGTGCCTGGAACATTGGCTATCCCTGCTGGCCTCCTGAGGCCCGAGGAGATAAGAGATTTCTTTATTGAGACAGGGTTTTAGTATGTAGTTCTGGCTGAGCTGTAGACCAGGCTGACCTCAGCTCATAGAGGTTCTCTTGCCTCTGCCTCCCAAATGCTGGGATCACAGCTCTTCTCCTCCACACTGAGCCCCACCTTGTTTCCAAAGACAGTATCTAAGGCCTGGGAAGTTTAGATTTGTAGGGATGGCTGATTTGTTTTGAGACAGGACCTCACTATGTCACTTGGCTGGCTTGGAGCTCTGTGTGGACCAGGCTGGGCTTGAACTCTCAGATATCCTCCTGCCTTCTGAGTGCTGGGATTAAAGGCCCACCAGGCTGGAATTTATGAATCTGGCTAAGCTGACTGGCCAGTGAGCCCCATAGATCTCCTGTCTCCACTTCCCCAGCACTAGGATTATAAACCTAAGCCTCTACAACTGGCTTTTTTATGGGAGGGGGGCGGGGTGCTGGGGCTGGGGATTGAACTTGGGTCCTCATGCTTGTACAGCAAGAGTTTTACTGTCTGAGCTGTCTCACTGGCCCCCTTCACCTGCTTCCTATTGTCTTTGCCTACCAGTCACAGAACAAGGCCTAAATCCTTGAGCTTTGGCCCAAAGTGGGGCCCGGGCAGACCTGAGCCAGCTCAGCTGTACCAGCTGAACTGCCTGGAGTCCAGTTTCTTCATCTCCCTAAGCCTTTGTTTCCTATTGTGTAAGTTGGAGATGATGGCAGTGACCTCATGAGGTTATTAGGATTACATAAGGATGCATGTAAGTCACTCAATACCTGGCACTAAGTACGCACTCAGTAAATGTTGATTGTTGGTATTCGAAGTAATAAATAGTTCACAGTGATGATTCCTCCCTACCTGGGCAGGTGCAGCTGTGGCCAAGCCCAGCTCTAGAAGTGCTCAAAGATCACTGTTGTTTAATGTTTATGTGATGAGCTGGGTGTGGCGGTTCAGGCCTATGATCCCAGCACGTGGGAGGCAAAGGTGGGAGGATTGCCCCTTCAAGACCAGCCTGGGCTACAAGGCCAGATTCTGCATTAGTATTTATTATTATT